ACCATCTCACACCTGTCAGACTGGCTATCATCAACAAATCAACAAACGACAAGTGCTGGAGAGGATGTGGAGAAAAAGGAACACTCATGCACTGCTGGTGGGAATGCAGACTGGTGCAGCCATTATTCAAGACAGTATGGAGTTTCCTCAAAAAACTGAAAATGGAACTCCCATTTGACCCTGTGATCCCACTTCTTGGAATATATCCCAAGAAACCAGAAACACCAATCAGAAAGGATATATGCACCCCTATGTTCATAGCAGCACAATTCACCATAGCTAAGATCTGGAAACAGCCTAAGTGCCCATCAGTAGATGAATGGATTAGAAAACTGTGGTACATCTACACGATTGAATACTATGCTGCTGTAAAAAGGAAGGAACTCTTACCATTTGCAACGGCATGGATGGAACTGGAGAGCATTATGCTAAGTGAAATAAGCCAGTCAATGAAGGAAAAATACCACATGATCTCACTCATTCATGGATAATAGAGACCATTATAAACTTTTGAACAATAATAGATACAGAGGCAGAGCTGCCTCAAACAGATTGTCAAACTGCAGCAGGAAGGCCGGGGAGGGTTGCGGGGCAGGAGGTAGGGGGGTAAGAGATCAACTAAAGGACTTGTATGCATGCATAGAAGCATAACCAGTGGACATAAGACATTGGGGGATAGGGGAGGCTAGGGGACTGTCTAGGGTGGGGGGATAAAATGGACACATATGTAATACCCTTTGTAATACTTTAAGCAATAAAAAAATAAAATAAAATAAAAATAAAAATAAATAAAATTAAAAAAAATAATCTTCTAAAAAAGACTAACCTTTTATCTTACCCTCCAGAGTTAAAATTAAGGAAGACCAGCCTCATCAAAAATGATAATGTCAAGTAGATGTAATGCATCATTTTTACAACATTTCAAGTGTTAAAAATAATCTCTTTGGCACCATTCCTAACATCAGCCAGAAATGATAATGTCAAAATCACCACTGCACTTTTATCATGGTGCACGCTGTACTTTTTTTTTTTTTTCATTTCTTTTTTTTTTTTAATTATTATTAGTTAAGGTATTACAAATGTGTCCACATCCCCCCCATTTGTACTTTTAATATTGCCTTCATTTCAAATTCTTATCAAATTGTTGTAAATTACCACCAACAGCATTTAAATTTGCATGAAAAAGAGTAAATACATTTCCCCACTATTTGATTAAAAGAAAAATGTGAGGCCGAAACCGGTTTGGCTCAGTGGATAGAGCGTTGGCCTGCGGACTGAAGGGTCCCAGGTTCGATTCCGGGCAAGGGCATGTACCTGGGTTGCGGGCACGTCCCCAGTGGGGAGTGTGCAGGAGGCAGCTGGTCGATGTTTCTCTCTCATCGATGTTTCTAACTCTCTATCTCTCTCCTTTCCTCTCTGTAAAAACTCAATAAAATATATATAAAAAAAAAAATGTGAGACCTTGAAAACTTTGTAATACATAATAAAGTTCTTTTCCGAGTTTGAAAATATTCCTCATGTTGAATGAAGTAAAATACACTTGTTTAGTACAAAAAAAAAAAAAAAAAAAAAATTGGCTCAAGTGCCCTAACCAGTTTGGCTCAGTGGATAGAGCGTCGGCCTGCGGACTCAAGGGTCCCAGGTTTGATTCCAGTCAAGGGCATGTTCCTTGGTTGCAGGCACGTCTCCAGTGTGGGGTGTGCAGGAGGCAGCTGATCGATATTTCTCTCTCATCGATGTTTCTCTCTATCCCTGTCCCTTCCTCTCTGTAAAACAACAAACAATAAAATATATTTTAAAAATTGGCTCAAGTGCCCTGGCTGGTGTTTTTCAGTGGTTAGAGTGTCGGCCCATGCACTGAAGGGTCACAGACTCCATTCCTGGTCAAGGGCATGTACCTGGGTTGTAGGTTCAATCCACAGCTCTGGTCAGGGCCCATGCAGGAGGCAACCAATTGGTGTGTCTCCCTCACATCAATGTTTCTCTCCCCCTCTCCCACCTTCCTCCCTACCTTCCACTCTCTCTAAAAATCAATTGAGGTATGCCAGTTGGTTCCATATCTCAATGTGGGGTTGGGGAGACAAGAAAAGGTAAACCAAAGAACTTATATATTTATATGCATAGTCCATGGATACAGGCAATAGGGTGGAGGAAGGAGGTGATAGGAGGAGTTGGGGCGAGGGGAAGGAGAGGAGATGGAAGATACCTGTAATACTATCAACAATAAAAATATGTATTAAAAAATGATGAGGGAAAAAACAATGGAAAAAATATCATCGGATGAGGATTAAAAAACAAGAAAAAATTGGCTCAGGCTATCTTTTCCTAACTTTTTTGTTAAGTTTCAAAGAAATCCAAGGTGAGAAGACAGGAAACAGTTAATTTCCAATGCATTCTTTAAAAAGGCTCTTCAGCTGCACCTCGACCTTGAGTTAAGTTCCTTTCTTCCTTATTCCCCAAATTCCCTGTAAACACAAGTCTCAGTAATCATATTAAATTGAAACTCTCTATTTATTAGTTCTGAGTGCCATTGGGGAAGTTAATTAAAAGCTAGGACCTAGATCTTATTCAACTGTGAATTCCTGGACATGCTGAACTAAGTTTTGTTGAACTAAATTTCATCACTGGGTCCATTAGAGGGAAGGTCCCAACAACACATCTTTATTTTTATTTCATTTAAGAGGTCTTAATGCTGACATTATTGCAGGAGTCCCCACTGCCCCCGCCACTGCTTTGCCCACTTCCACCCTCCTCTGCCTCCCCTAACAACACGCCTTTAAAAGGCAACCTGCCACCTGGCCAGTGTGGTTCAGTGGTTGAGCATTGACCTATGAACCAGGAGACCACAGGTTTGATTCCCAGGCAGGGCAAATGCTGGGGTTGCAGGCTTGATTTCCAGTAAGGAGGTGTGCAGGGGACAGCCAATCAATGATTCTCATCATTGATGTTTCTATCTCCCTTCCTCCCTGAAATCAATAAAAAAAAATGTATTTTAAAAATAAAATAAATAAATAAATAAACAACCTGCCTTGCAACATTTGGCTGTGCACTAAATTTTAGAGTAACCAGGCTGTTCTGATAAAAATATTCTGGACTGAATTCATTTGCCACCACATCCACCTATGACTCAGCCCCTGATAGTGACTAGCAAAGAACTAATGTCATTCCTTTCAAAGATTCTGGCTTCCCACTGTCCATTTTTCCTCTTTTTCCTCCAATTCTACCAACATACCTGTAATTCCCAATACACTGCATAGATACTGGCCCCAAAGTCTAAACAAAAACAACTCACTGGGTTGTTTCACCCAAAGGTAGACTTCTATTGTTCTGGCCAGATGAAGGAACAGAGCCATCATCAACAAACACAAGGACAATTTCTTTTCCCAGATAAGAGTAGAGGCTCAAATAAGATTAAAAGGCAGAAGCACTAAAAAACTGAAACCTAAAAAATGTGGGTAGGGTGAGAGAGAAATAATTGTTATTAATACTGCCTCTTTCTCTTCCCCATCCGGGTGAACTTCCACTCTCTTGAAAATCAGTCAGTATCTCTTCAGCCCTCACTACCACTTCCATAGGCCTTCCTTTCTTTAAAGAGCTCTTCCTCATTCTACAGTGGTTTGAGGGGAGGGGAGTCCAAGCTAAGGCATGCCAGAAGAAACATACAGAGTCTCATTTGTAAGCAAGCAAACAATTGCCCTCCCTTTAAGAGCCTTCCTCCTTGGCACTCTGAACCAAAAATGATGTAGTAAATAAAAACAATTCAGTGTTAGGAGAGACCTACTTTGATGTAGTTCTTCACCAAAGTTTTTAGGCAACAAACACACAACTTGTGGTTCTCTTCCAATTTCAATCAAGCATCAGCTATAATTTTTTAAATCTTTAAAGCAATGCATTAATGCAGTGGTTCTCAACCTTCTGGCCCTTTAAATACAGTTCCTCATGTTGTGACCCACCCATAAAATTATTTTCGTTGCTACTTCATAACTGTAATTTGCTACTGTTATGAATTGTAATGTAAATATCTGATATGCAGGATGGTCTTAGGCGACCCCTGTGAAAGGGTCCTTCAACCGCCAAAGGGGTCGCGACCCACAGGTTGAGAACCGCTGCATTAATGCCAACTCACCTAGGAAGATTAAGAAGAAAAGCACTTGGCCTTTAAATCTTCAGAAGAGGGTTTAATGACAGGTTCAACCTGTTTAAGGGCAGAGCCAGCTCCACACCCCTGTTTTATTGTGTTCCATTATCATTGCATAAATTCCCTTTATAACTCACGACAAGTAAAAATGAAATACTTGCTGAGGTGGGTTTTAATAAGTAAGAGTAAAATCAAAAATAAACTGTTCAAATATCATGAAAGTGTGATCTCAGGTTCTTAAAATATATATATTGATATTTTTATGTGCCTGACATGTTGTCACTCTCAATCTAAAGGTCATTTTTTACAAGGAGTGTAACCATCACTCAAAGATGAAAATAATAAGTAGCACATTCAAAACTGGATTCTCGGGATTTTTCTCTTACCAGGTATACTGATTTTTTTTTTTTTTTGACTCATTCAAATAGGAAGACACACCCAAAAGAAAATTGCTAAGGTTGGTGCAAGATGTGAAGCTAGTGAAGTTCAAGTACTGCCTGGGGATGAATATAACCTGCATGACCGGTGCAGAGCTGTCACTTTCAGACATCTTAAGACAGAGTTATTTTAAATGTCTTTCTGTCATTGATTCTACGGGGAGCGACTAACGTCTCCCGCGTGAAGCCAGCTGAAGAAATAGAAAGACGCTGCTCCGCCTGCTGGAGGGAGGGGCTGAGTACATTGATTCGATGTTTCCAAAACCTTGACCAACACTCCCGGACTCTGGGCGAGCAAGGCCTGGGCCTCCGAGCGCCCGGCGTCTGGCGCATGCGTCCTAGCACCCTCTGGGCTAGCTCCACTCCCCTATCCCCGCCCCTACCTCGTCAACTCTCCCATCCCCGCCCCTACCTCGTCCCCTGCAGCTCCGCTGGCCCCGCCTCGCGGCCGGCGAGCTGCATAGCCGAGCTGGCCTGCGGGCTGCGGGCGGAGCCGAAGGGGGTGGGGAGAGCGACGCACCGCCCAGCTGGACCAAACCCCTCCACTCCCAGCGAGAAACTGCAGTGCGCCTGGGATCAGGACGCTCGCTCCTGCCCTTCCAGCCGGAGCCCTCGCACCAGGCGCCTTTCCTGGGAGCGAGCTGGGCGCGTCCGCTCATTCCCGATCGCCCGGAAAAGGCCGACTTAACGACAGGCCGTTTGGCCTTTGCACGAGCCGCCAAGTCACCAAAGGGCGGCGACAGGGGACTGGAGCCAGCGGGGCTCTCCCGAGGAGCAGAGAGCGCTCGGGGGCGACGCGGGGCCGGAGCGAGGAGTGTCGTGAAGCTCGGGGCTAGCGGCGGATCATCCCGATTTTGTCTGGCGTCTGCGAGATGTGGGAAGAAGAAAAGGTCAAGCTCGGAGGCAATGGCAGCGATGCCCGTCTGGCCAGCGCCGCGGCGCGGGGGCAAGTGGAGACCGTGCGGCAGCTCCTGCAGGCGGGCGCGGATCCCAACGGAGTCAACGGCTTCGGGAGGCGCCCGATCCAGGTACCTGGGGCCCAGGGGCCTCGTCGGCAGGGGGCGCGCGAACGCGGGGGGCGCGGCCTCCCTGGGGCGCCTCTGGGACCTGGGTCTCCACTGTTTCTCTCTTGCTAGGGGTGTGGAGCCCAGGGGTACAGCAGGTGTTCACCCACCAAAAATCCTTAAAAAAAAAAGAAGAATGAAAAACCCACTGCATCAGTTTGTTCTTTTTAATGATGGAAAAAATATCAGTATATCCTCTCCCGTCTCGGGATCAGAGATAAATTACAACTTACGCATTCTGTATTGGATTTAAAGAATCACACAAAATCATAGTACATGGAGGAAAAAAAAACTCACTGTTAAGTTTCAAGCTGCAATATGAAATTCCTTGCAGTTTGTTCTAAACAAAGGAACAAGACAGGGTTCCTAAACCACAATACTTACTCCTCTTATTTTATGTTAGCATTATCTCTTGAGCATTACGTAAGAAAAAAATGATTCTATGGATTTTTACTGCTTAATTACCATACTGAATGCTTGGATTATAAAAGCATTCCCTGCAGCAACTGTTAGGTAGTTTTTAAATAGAAAAGGGTCTTCGATTTTAAAGAAGATATATGTTCATTCCTTTAGAATTCATAGAAAAGTGTTACAAGAAATGAGGGATGGTTCAAAGCAGCAAAAATATGGTACAGTAGTTGTTAAAGACTTCAAATTATACTAATAATTGTATAAATAGGTTTTATAGTTTTAATTCACCATTTTCTGGGATATTAAGAACCACGTTTCCTCCCCGCTCTCTATATGTGAAACAGCCTTTATATCACTAGTAAGAATGATAACTTGATAACCTATCTTGGTTTTTAAGCAAGGAATTGGATGCTTCTAATATTCATGAAACAGAACAAAAAAATTAGTATACTACCTTTCAGTTACATAGTACATTTTAAAACACAAAGTCACAAGAACAAATAATTCCGTTTTGGATATTTAGTTGTCAAAAGTTGTTTTATTGTTAAAGTAAAAAAGTAAATGTTTGCATAATGTGTATTTATACAAATGGGTGCTATAGGATTACTGCTCCAAACATCCTTTTTCTAAGTTATGCATTGTTCTGATTCAACTACTGGCATCCAAGTTCTTTTCATATAGCAAAACATTTACTATTTAATATTATAAAATCCTGTACAATGTAAATATAGTATTAATATTACATGTTACATTAAGTCTACCACCCGCTAAACTTTGGGCCTTCTCTATAACATTAAGTTAAATATTTAAAATGGTGACCCATTTATTAACAACAAATAATTGGTTTTCATTAGTTTATAAAACAATGTGTGTGTCTCTTTACATTTTCCCCTCTAGCTTCAATTTTGGTTCAAATTGTAGGACTATATTACATTTATAAGCACAGACATACGTGACTGAAAAGCAAAGGCCTTCCACAGGGGATTTACTGTGAGAACTAAACAAAGTAAGCCTTATTTTAAATTTAGTTGTTTCTCATTTTCTCCCCTAAAGCATTACTCTAACTTCCAAGATATAGCATCAGCTGACTGCCTAATAAAGATTTTTAGACACGGATTATGTCTGGGGAGAGAGGACAGAGCAAGAGAAATAATTTCAGATTTTAAAAGCCTTTAAACTTAAGTCCACCTATTAGTCATTTAACAAAATGGATTCCCATGTTCAAATGGAAGTCAGCTTTTTCTTTTTTTCTCACAATGAAGAAAAGCACATTATCATCAGCTCTTTCTTGCATATTTGGAAAATATAACTGAACCTCAGTAAAGAGTATACCTGGAGCAGGTGGGGGGACTGGGAGGAGGGAAATATTGCGTCAGCAAATGAGCTTAACCAGATTCCTGGGGCTTGTGAGCACCTCTGCATAAAGTAGATACTTCATGTGTTTGAAATGGTCTACCTGTCCCTGCCCAGGCCTGCATCTCGCTTTCCCCTCGCCCTGACCATTCTGCTCTCGCCCGCAGGTCATGATGATGGGCAGCACCCGCGTGGCCGAGCTGCTGCTGATCCACGGCGCGGACCCCAACTGCGCGGACCCCGCCACCCTCACGCGGCCCGTGCACGACGCCGCCCGGGAGGGCTTCCTGGACACGCTGGTGGCGCTGCACCGAGCCGGGGCGCGGCTGGATGTGCGCGATGCCTGGGGCCGCCTGCCCGTGGACCTGGCTGAGGAGCGGAGCCACCGCGACATCGTCCGGTACCTGTGCGCCACCGCGGGAGACTGATGGCGGGCGCACCCAGCTGCCCACAACGACTTTTCTTTTCTCCCCAGCTCCCCATCCCCAACTTAGTTCAACCAAGGCTGCGACGCAGAGCGGCTTTCGGAAAGCCTTCCTGGGCGACTGGATTCCTCAAGGGAAGGAGGGGCAGGCCAGAAATAAATCCTTTTTCTTTTTTCTTTTCTGGGTCCCACCCTTGGACCCTCACCTGTAGCCAAAGGCAGAGAGGTGGGGCCAGAGGTGTTCAGCGAGATTTGGGGGCGGAATGTTTCGTTCCCCGCTGCCGTTTACTGGCGGAAAAGCGGTGTGCGACGAAGGCCATGAAGGGCCCTGGAGATGGGGGGTCGGAGGCAGCGGGATTGGCCTCTGATGGGAGGTCGGAGAGATGGTCACCGCACTGACCTTGATGGAGCCCCTCGTAAGTCCTCAGTTGGGGCTCACGGGCAAACCCGAAGACCGAGGACCAGAGGAGGACGGTGAGGGCTGCTGTGGCTGTCAGGAGGCGTAGAGCTTTACTTATCTTGCGAGACACAGCAAGTCACCTGCAAAACCGTATTCACTGCAAGTCCTGGAGACAGCGCCACCGGAAAGCGACTGGAGGAGAAAATGGGAACCACCTTGAATTCGCCTTTATATCCTAAAATCCGTGGGTCAAGTTGGCGCAAGACAGCTCTCAGGACGGGGCCGGCACTTGCTGTTTGTTATTCAGTCCAGGAGAGCTTCCTGCTCAGCGAACAAAATGCTGCAGGAGGGAGGGGGGTTACTGGGGTAGAAGCAGGAGACAAAACTGTGAACTAATGGTTTGCTTCATCTATATACAATAGGGATAGGATACAGACACGCGCCACTTGGAAAGATCTCGTGATAGTTTGTACTTCTGCATTGTTCTTCGGTAAAAATCTTAATGAGGCCAAACCGGTTTGGCTCAGTGGATAGAGCATCAGCCTGCGGACTGAAGGGTCCCGGGTTCGATTCCGGTCAAGGGCATGTACCTTGGTTGCGGACACATCCCCAGTGGGAGGTGTGCAGGAGGCAGCTGGTCGATGTTTCTAACTCTCTATACCTCTCCCTTCCTTTCTGTAAAAAATCAATAAAATATATTTTTTAAAAAATCTTAATGAGGAGACTTTAAACAACAAAGTAATTCGGCAAGGGCGCTCGGTAAAGAGATAGGAAGGACTGCAGCTCTGGTGAGGCTAGTGCAGCACCACGCCTAGATCACTTTCGAGCTTAACCTATTTATTTGTTACATTTTCTCTGACTTTACTAGACCGTCTCAGGGGGTCAAACTGTGAAATGCTCCAAATGTCTTTTACAAGATCGATGCACTTAGCCAGTAAATTATCTCCAGATACTTCCAAGTGGTTGCTGAAGAAGTAGACTGAATATAGAATTGTTGACAATATATGACAATTATGACTCGGGGAATGTCTTAATACCTGCTAAAGGTGCACTGTTTTGGGACTTAATTTCCAGTGTTGTTTGATTCATTGCAGTATTGAAACAACTGATACTTCACTGCTTTAATAAAGGAAAAACAACAGAGATTGGACTCCAAGATGTGGGTAAATTGGCTTTAAAATGTATGTTCATGGATTTACCTATCACTAACTGCTGAGAAATGTTAAAGACTCAAAAGGGTTCATATCTCTCACTGTTTGTAATAATTGTTAAGTGATACCAACAAAAATTTATATAAACTCGTTCCACATACATTGAAAGATTTATACATGTAGAGTGTGTGTGTTGTATAAGAGAAGAGGGAACAGAAAAATTAATTTCAGATTAATAAGAAGAGGGGCTTTTGAGCTAAATTTTAAAAATTTTACCTCTCCATCAATTCTTTATTTCCCCAAATATATTACTGGGGAAGCTTGATTGAGAATCAGAGTATATCTTTTGGGGGAAAAAATATATAAACATTTATTGACATATAACTTGTGCCAGGCATGCTCTAACATACATTTGTTCATTTAACACTTAAAATAAACTTGGGAGATAGGTATTGTTTCCCATATGAGGGAAGTGAGAGATTAACAAGTAGTCTTTCACGGATCCCAATATATTCACTCCACGGTTGTGCAAAGGAAGTCTGTCCTGATCTCCCTGATAAGTCCCTAGGATACTTTTTCTTTCTATCGTATCTAATAAATCTGAACATATTGTTTTTAAATCTATCTGAAAATGTCAACAGCATGAATAGCCCCCAAAAGAGTGACCTAAAAATCACTTTGGGAACAAAAATAATGAAATCCCCCATTTTCAAGTTAAGCCACAGGACAGAAAATACAATTGTAGTCATCACGTAAGCACCCAGTCATAACTGACTACCAGAATGGTATTTTTAAAGTTTTTATTGTTTTACAACTACTAAGAAGCATTCTTTATGAAAGAGGTCAATTGATAATTTAAAAACTATCCATTTGATTTATGAAATCCTTATTTTGTCCTCTATTTCTTAAGTTCCAAGACATTCAAATTGGCTAGTTGCATGAGGCTGAGTAATGAAAAGTAATCCCTTGAAATTAATGTGAAATGTGATTTTACTCCTAACGTAAAGAAACTGTGGGATCTGAAGATAACATGATATTAAGGGAAACTAAAATAAGAAAATGTGGTTGTGGATCACAGTAACATATTCTATTGTTTTTTGTTTTATGAATATATATAAACCCCCGGCAAGAAAGAGCAGATCGAGGAAAGAGAAATTCAGACTTGATTGGAAGATGGAAGACTTGGGTTCCATTACTGGTTCTTTAATTAAACACATGACTTACTAAACAATGTAACTTGGATTAACCTCAATTTTTTCATCTATAAAAGGTGGGAGTTGGACTATATTACTTCTAAGTTCCCTACCATCACTAAAGTTTTATCACTTATGAGTTTGTTACACATGTGACTGTGAGGGCTGATATTTATTAGTAATAATTTTGCCATGGTATGAGAAGCAAGGAAAAATATATAGAAGAATGGAAAAGAAAGGCATATTTTAAAATTCTGGAGTTCCAGGAGGGAAAAATCTTTATAAGCACCACCTCCACCAGTTAGTTGGAAAATAACAGACACGTTTATATAAAGTGAGACAGAAAAGATACTTTGCAAAGTAAGTACTTAGTTTAATTTTAAGGTCTTTCTCTTCTCCTCTTACCTCTGATTTTTCTTGATGCCTTTCACATTTCTCTCATGCCACTCACAGCCACTAAAAGAATTAGTTTCTTTTTTAAAATATGTTTTTGATTTAAAAGAGGGAGAGAGGGAGAGATAGAAACATCGATGATGAGAGATAATCCTAGATTAGCTGCCTCCAGTACCCCTCCGAACCCCCACCAGGGATCCAGCATACAACCTGGGCATGTGCCCTGACTGGGAATCAAACCATGACCTCCTGGTTCATGGGTTGATGCTCAACCACTGAGTCACACTGGCCAGGGAAGAATTAGTTTCTTAAAGTGAGATAAGCAAGTAGACCAAATAGATTTGTAAAATAAAGCTGAGGTAGGTATTTACAAGCTAATATAAATGCTCTAAAAAAGGGGGTCTTTAAGTGAGTGTATTATAACAAGGGATTCTGATCTAAGTTGGGTTGGTGTGGGAGTGAGAACCAAAAGAAAAAGTTGGGATATTAGAAAGAACAGAAAGTACAAAGACAAGAAAATGCTAAAATATTAGATGAAGTCATTAAACAGTGGTTCTCAACCTTCCTAATGCCGCGACCCTTTAATACAGTTCCTCATGTTGTGGTGACCCCCAACCATAAAATTATTTTTGTTGCCCAACCATAAAATTATTTTCATTGCTACTTCATAACTGTAATGTTGCTACTGTTATGAATCATAAAGTAAATATCTGATATGCAGGATGTATTTAGGCAACCCCTGTTAAAGGGTCGTTTGACCCCCAAAGGGGTGGCGACCCACAGGTTGAGAACAGCTGCAGAAGATGAGTAACTCTCTTGTTACCTATTTAAAAATGTATGTAGTTTCTGGTTTGTTTCCACTGGGTTCCTTGAAACTTTAGGTCCTTAAATTTTGCCTGGGTGATAGTAGGAAGAGCTGATTGGGGAAGAGCTCTGTATCACCTAATTTGTACACATCAGCCATTTCAGGAGGGAGAAAATGAGGTGAAAAGACAGCAACAAAAGGAATAGAAGGAAGAAGAGCATGGTAGTATTTTATGAAAGATGGGTCAATAGTTCAACAGAATGAATCAAACCAAACCAAACAAACTATATATGGTCCACATACTGATGAAATTTGTGAAATATTTCTAGTCCTAAAATAATGGAAATCTCATTCCCTACTCTCTTGATTGTCTATAAAATTTTTCTCAAATTCAGCTATTAGAAATGGGGTGACTCCTTTCTTGCCTCTTGAATCCCCCATTCAGAAGACTTTAATATTATTCCTTGCATAAGGAAAAAATACTTTATAGAAATGGTAATTTTTATACATCATCCCTTTATTAATTATGTACTAAGGAAAATTTGCTTTGAAGCCAGTGCTAATTATCATTGGCATGGATTACATATTAAGCACAGGGATATAAATCAAAATGTACATCAAAACTGAGGACCCAACTCTGATTTAGTAATTTGAAGTTTGAAATAAATATAAACCAAAGATTTTGCTGGTACAAAAAAATAACTATGAGAGATGTACGAAATGATATGCTATCTCACAGCCATCTATATTATGCTGAAAGTTTACAAAGAAACCTCAAACACTTACTAATCCCATTCCCCTAGTTTAGACACCTCCCTCTCCCCTCCACCCCCCATAGATATAGTCAGTGGTGGCACAGAAAATATTTTACATCAGACTTAAACAAAACTTTAAGACCAACTACAGTAACAAAACTATACTTCATTTCCCTTTCATATTTGGCCTCCTCCCAAAATGCATAATGTTTTATTTCACTGTCCTCTTATTTGAATACTCTACATTATGATAGGGTTGGTGCTACTTCCTTTGAACACTTTCATATTTGACCTCTGGATTTCCTTTTAATTTTAAACAAACTTCCCTCTATATTCTTACCCTTCACAAATTCCTCCATCGCCTTGCCTTAGCTAAAAATGGGTCTTCCTGAGAATTCCACTTTCTTCTGCACCAGATACTAGTGCTAGACTGTGAGCAACAGAGTGGGACTCAGGACTAGTAATGAGTGTAGGCTGTTTGGATGGCTTTCAATAGTCCCAAACCAAATATGTAAGGGTTAGCCATTATGCTTCAGGTTTCATTAATCTCTTAGTGAAATATTTGCATTTTGTTTATCAGATGAAGCTATAATTTCAGTATGTTATTACATATTTTATAATGTCTATAAGACATAACATTCTATATAATAAAAGCCTAATATGCTAAGTGTCCAGTCGACCAGTCTGCTGTTCAACCAATCAAAGCATAATATGCTAATGATATGCTAAGGCTCCTCAACCGCTCGCTATGACGTGCAATGACCACCAGGGGGCAGACAGTTGACTTGTTGACCAGTCGCTATGATGTACACAGACCACCAAGGGGCAAACACTCTGACCAGTAGATGAGCTTGCTGCTGGGGTCTGGCAGATTGGGACTGAGTGAGATGGGCTGGACATGCCCTGGAGCCCTCCGCAGTTCCTCCCCAGCTGGCCAACCTCCCGCGTCTCTCCCTGGCCCCGATTGTGCACTGGTGAGGTCCCTTGGCCTGGCCTATGCCCTCTTGCAATCCAGGACCCCTCAAGGGATGTCAGAGAGCTGGTTTTGGCCCAATCCTGCAGGCCAGGCCGAGGGACCCCACTGGTGCACAAATTCATGCACTGGGCCTCTAGTCTAAACATTAAACAGTAAGCAATGTACTGTATTTTTCCACATATAAGACACTAATTTTTTCTAAAATCGTTAGATTGAAAATCATGGGGTGTCTTATACACAGAAGTCAGCCGAGGATGGAGCCAGGTGGGTGTGGGTGCATAGCTGCCTATACCTTGTCGAACAGGATGTCCCCTAATCATGAACCTTTTTGTTACTGACATCAGCTGATGCTGTAATTGGAGGTGGAGGTAGAGCAGGGGTCCTCAAACTATGACCCGCAGGCCACATGCAAATACAAATATTGTATTTGTTCCCGTTTTGTTTTTTTACTTCAAAATAAGATATGTGCAGTGTGCATAGGAATTTGTTCATAGTTTTTTTTTAAACTATAGTCCAGCCCTCTAATGGTCTGAAGGACAGTGAACTGGCCCCCTGTTTAAAAAGTTTGAGGACCCCTGTAGAGAGTGCTTAGATGCAACAGGGACCAGAGTGTTCTGAGCCCATAAAGATGTCAAAAAATAAAAGGATAATTACTGGTAAGTGATTGTCTTACTCTGCAAAATTCAAACTGAATGTAATCAGCTATGCAAAAGAGCATGGAAATAGAGCTGCAGAGAGAGAATTTGGACCTCCTCCCACTGAGTGTATGATCAGACAATGGAGAAAACAGGAAGAACAACTCCTTAAGATGCCAAAAAAGAAGGCCTTAAGAGGAAAACCAGAAAAATGTTTAAAATATTGATTTCTTAATTTTGGGTTGGAAAAGTGGGGGCGTCTTATACATGGGGCATCTTATACCCAGAAAAATACGGTACAGTATTCTGTTGACAAACCCACAGATAGCTCAACAGATACTGACAACACATGGAGTTGTCTTCCGAAGGCTAAGTGTTGGAAATACCTAATGGCTCCTCATTCCACCTGTGAATTATGCAGTGTTGAGCTCTACCACCTTTCCAAGGGCACAGCAGTACCCTTTACAGTATCCTGTATCTCCTCCCAACATGCCACCTAGAGTTATAAACTATAACCTTGCCTAAAATATTTTTCAATCTTCTACTACTCTCTAATCTCTAAACTGCCTTTAATATTTAGAATTATTACATACTAGAGGCCCGGTGCACAAAAATTTGTGCACTCGGGGGGGTCCCTCAGCCCGGCCTGTGCCCTCTCGCAGTCTGAAACCCCTCGGGGGATGACCACCTGCTGGCTTAGGCCCGCTCCCTGGGGGGATTGGGCCTAAACTGGCAGTCAGACATCCCTCTAGCAGCCCAGGAACCCTCGGGGGATGTCCACTTGCCAGTGGGGAGCAGACCTAAGCTGCAGTCTTACATCCTTAATGCTGCTGAGGAGGCGGGAGAGGCTCCCACCACCACTGCTGTACTGGCAGCCATCAGCCTGGCTTGTGGCTGAGCAGAGCTCCCCCTGTGGGAGCACACTGACCACCAGGGGGCAGCTCCTGCATTGAGCGTCTGCCCCCTGGTGGTCAGTGTGTGTCATAGTGACCAGTCATTCCCAGTCATTCTGCTGTTAGGGTCAATTTGCATATTACCCTTTTATGATATAGGATAGAGGTCTGGTACATGCTGGGGCCAGCTGGTTTGCCCTAAAGGGTGCCCCGGATCAGGGTGAGGGTCCCGCTGGGGTGCCTGGCCAGCCTGGGTGAGGGGCTGATGGGTGTTTGCAGGCTGGTCACACCCCCTTCCGGGTGGGGGTCCCCACTGGGGTGCTTGGCCAGTCTGGGTGAGGAGCTGAGGGCCATTTTCAGGCTGGCCAAGCCCCCTGGCGACGGAAGCTCCCAGCCTCTCCTTTTTTTCTTTTTATTCTGGGATTTATTTACCTTCTATAATAGAAACTTTGTTGCTTTGAGTGGAGCTCAGAGCTGGCACGGCAGGCGGGAAGCTTGGCTTCCTCCATCATTGGGGCAACCAAGCCTCCTGTGTGCTCCAGCTCTGTGGCTGCCGGCCGCCATCTTGGTTGTGTTAATTTGCATACAGTCGCTCTGATTGGCTGGTGGGTGTGGCTTAAGATGTAGCAAAGGCACGGTCAATTTGCATGTTTGTCTTTTATTAGTGTAGATGGATCTATTCCAGGATTTCAGGAGCTTTTAAATACTACCATGAACAAAATAATTTAATGGTATCCCCTTTCTAGGAAAAAAATTAAATAACATTTAATCGTACATTCGTCCCCAGGTATGTATATTTGTGCAATGATGGTGCTATCCCCACCAGTCATTTCAGGCCAATATACAGGGGAATGGTTATTAACCCTGACTCCATATCAGAATCATCCCTGGAGGTATTCTAAATACGTATTTGCGACCAACTTCAGGCCTTAAGAATTAGAATACCTATGTTTGGGGCCCCAAATTTCTGTGATTGTTACTTTAACATTCTTGTTCATGGAAAACTTTCAATTAGTACAGAAAATAAACAGAAATAGATAAAAATCAATCTCCTGAAACCTCTCTACTCCCCAGTCTAACTTCCCAGGGTAACCACAATTTTCAAGTTTTAATTAACCTTCCAGAAATATAGATACATATAATTGTAAACACTCCTCTCCCAACACTTAGAAAATGTAAGTAGGATCATACTATTCTGCAACTTGCTTTTTTGATTGGTAATAGATGTTTGACAACTTCCATTATTAGGACATATAAATATACTTCATTTAAAAAAAATTATAAATTGATTTTAGAGAGAGGAAGGGGCCAGCCTGCAAACAGCCATCAACCCCTCACCCAGGTGACCAGGCACCCCAGTGGGGACCCTCCACACTGAAGGGGCTAGGGCCAGCCTGCAAACAGCCATCAGCCCCTCACCCAGGCTGGCCAGGCGCCCAAGCAGGACCCCCACCCTGATCCAGGACACCCTTAAGGGCAAACCAGCCGGCCCCTACCCGTGCACCAGGCCTTTATCCTATATAGTAAAAGGGTAATATGTAAATTGACCCTAACAGCAGAATGGCTGGGAATGACTGGTCACTATGACACACACTGACCACCAGGGGGCAGACGCTCAATGCAGGAGCTGCCCCCTGGTGGTCAGTGTGCTCCCACAGGGGGAGCTCTGCTCAGCCACAAGCCAGGCTGATGGCTGCCAGTACAGCAGTGGTGGTGGGAGCCTCTCCCGCCTCCTCAGCAGCACTAAGGATGTCTGACTGCAGCTTAGGTCTGCTCCCCACTGGCAAGTGGACATCCCCCGAGGGTTCCTGGGCTGCCAGAGGGATGTCTTCTGAGCTTAGGCCCAATCCCCCAGGGAGCGGGCCTAAGCCAGCAGGTGGTCATCCCCCAAGGGGTAACAGACTGCGAGAGGGCACAGGCCGGGCTGAGGGACCCTCCCCCCCCCCCCCCGAGTGCACAAATTTTTGTGAACCGGGCCTCTACTTATTTATAATAAACTAGAGGTCTGGTGCACAAAATTCATGCATGGGTGGACGGGTGGGGTCCCTAGGCCTGGCTGGTGATCAGGGCCATTAGGGCCATCTCGCCCAGTCCTGATTGGGGCTAGGCCAATTGGGGCCTGCCGGCCAGGGGAAGGAACAGAAGGAGGGACTTCGGGAGGTTGGCAGGTTGGCAGGCTGGCCGGGAGGGGAGGAGTGGGGGGCGGGGAGGAACCGTGGGAGGTTGGCTGGCTGAGGGTGGTTGGCTGTGGGAGTGCACTTGCCACCAGCAGGCAGCTCCTGGGTTGAGCGTCTGCCCCGTGGTGGTCAGTGGTGTCATAGCAACTAGTCAACTGGTCTTTCTGGTAGTTGGATCGTACTGGTCGCTTAGGCTTATATATATATAATCTGTAAATAGCCCAAGTGCCCATCTGCACATGAGTAGATAAAAAAAGTAATGGTACAATGGAATATTGCTAGGCTGTATAAAAGAAGAAACGTTTACCCTTTTCAACAGCATGGATAGACCTGGAGAGTATTATGCTAAGCGAAATAAGCCAGTCAGAGAAAGGCAAATACTATGTGATCTCAGTAATATGCGGATTCTAATGGACAAAATAAACTGACGAACAGTGGAACCAGAAACACTGATACATGGAACTGACTGGCTGGTGCCCAAGGGGAGGGGGTGGGAGGGTGACTGAATAAAGAATGTGAAGGGATTAGCTATAGAACATATGCATATGCATACCCTATAAGCACGAATAATAGTTTGATGAAGGTCAAAAGAGCGGGAGGCCAGGATGGGTAGAAGAGGGCAAAGGGGAGGGGAGGTTGGGGGGTAGGGGTGGGAAAGAAGTGATCAACCAAAGAACTTGTGTGCATATAAGCATAACCCATGGACACAAAAAATAGGATGGTGAAGACCTAGGATGGAAGGTGGGGTGGGCTAGAAGGGGTTAATGGGGAAGAAGGGGGGACATATATACTTTCAACAATAAAGTTTAAAATGTTTTAAATTAAAAAGTAATAATAAATTAAAAATTAAGAAAGAAAAAAGCATACAAAGGAAAGAATAATATATGTAAAACCAAAAAGAAGGAAAAGAGAGAGATACCTAAGAGAACACTCTTGTTCAGGGGTAGGTGAGGAAACAAGGTAAACTAAGTTAAGTAAAATGCCCTCCTGTCTTTGCCTATGAGATGCATTTGCTGATCCAAAATAAATAATCATTTTTCTCAACTCAAAAACTCAGAGAAATCTAGTCATGTTTATTTTGGGCCAAAGGAAGAGAGCAAAGAAAAGCCCCAACATCAGTGATTCTCTGTCTGGAAAAATGACCCACTCCCTCCGGCCTTCAGTACAACAGAAAGACGGCAAGTGTTTTATAGTTAAAGACTGATGATTCCAGTCCTGGCACCTGCTGGCCCTAAAGTGTTCAAGATTTGAGCCCCCTCTGGGCTTCAGTGTTCTCACCTGTAAAATAGGGGTAGTACTCCTAAATCCAAAAGACCACTGTGAGGATAAAATACATGTGAACGTGTATATGCATAATACTGCTCAGTCCTTGATCATACAATCTTTGCATAGCACATAGCCAAAAATCTTTGGAATGCCACAAATTCATTGTTTTGCTAAGATTCATCTTCATAATTGCATTTTGCTGAGTCTAATATTAAAATTAGATAGAATTCCCCTGCATACCACAACTAACAAAACACAGGTGTTGGGCAGCAGGGGAAAACCAAGATGGAATTTAAGTTTAAATTTTAAAATTTATATTCATTTAACACAGAGCTTCCTGTATAACAATCTCGCTCAACCCTCTCACTCAAATGGCATTCCTCTCAAGCGGGCAACTCACCTTTTCCCCAGAGCAAATTCAGATAAAGAGGAAATGGCTATAGATAAAGCTATAAAGCCCAATCAATAGAGACATCCCTGAATTTAAACTTAACTGGGAAACTGAGGCTCAACAGACCTCTCAGGCATAACTGGGTAATGTGATGTTCTAATTTTATCTGTCAACTTGGGTGGGCTATGGTATCCAATTGTTTGGTTAAACAGGATCATTCTAGATGTCGCTGTGAAGTTGTTTTATGGGTTGTTTGGTTTTTGTTTTGTTTTTTTTTAGATATAACTAACATTTAAATCCATAGGCTCTAAATAAAGCAAATTATCCTCCATAATGTGCGTGGGCCTCATCCAATCAGGTGAAGGCCTTAAATGAAAAGACTGAGGTTCTTCAAGGAAGAAGGAAGTCCGTCACCAGGCTGATTCAAAAACTGCAGCTGGCCGCTTTTTTCTGAACTACGCACTCCCTAGATTGACCCTCATCTGTTGGCCACAAAAACGAAATACCGTCCTTATAACTGTCTTTCATAGTCCATCTCTCGTACGAGGTTTTCTTTGGTGGGGGGTGGGCGCAACGATGCGGTGCAAGACAAAACAGGTTCTGGCTCCCATGGAGTTTGCATACTACGGTTCGAGATAAACAATTAAGATAATACATAAGATAATTTCTGTGTGCTAAGTACAATACAAAAGACAAACAAAACACGGTGATGGGATGGCACCTGGAAGAGGAAAAGTGTCTGAAAGGGTGGGAGCGGCAAGTAGCCTCAGCACCAAGCACGGTGTTCTGGGACCCTAAGTTGAATCCTATGGGGGAGCGGAGCAGAGCGGTGCGTTAGTCAAAGTCTAGAATAGCGGTTCTCAATCTGTAGGTCGCGACCCCTTTGGGGGTGGAACCACCTTTCACAGGGGTCGCCTAAGACCATCGGAAAACACATATGTAATTACATATTGGTCTTTTTCTCCCCTCCCCCCACCCCCCTACATATTGTTTTTGTGATTAATCACTATGCTTTATGTTCAATTTGTAACAATGAAAATACATCCTGCATATCAGATATTTACGTTATGATTCATAACAGTAGCAAAATTACAGTTATGAAGTAGCAACGAAAATAATTTTATGGTTGGGGGTCACCACAACACGAAGAACTGTATTAAAGGGTCGCGGCATTAGGAAGGTTGAGAACCACTGGTCTAGAAAGTGGTTTAGAGTGGCTGTTTAAAACTGGTCCCTAACTAACTTCATGCAAGCAGGGGTTAGGCGACTAGGTCTTGCGATGGGGTGAGGGATAGAGTGGAGGAAGCCTGCTGCTGGATCTGTCAGCTCGGAAGCCCTGGATCCGCTCCTACAGGTTGGCCACCTCCAGCACAAGTAGAAGCGGCCACTGCGAGGCGCGGGGCGAGTCCCACATCTTCTCTAGACTCTCCCGGGAGACCGACCAGGCCTAGCTCCGGCCCGCGAGGTTCCGGGCGGATGAAGACCAACTTTAGTCCCGGAGGTGGGGACACAGGTCAGCATCGCCACCCTGAAAGCGAGTCGGGGCTGGACCTCGCATCCCCCGGAGCCGGCGAGCTCGCAATCGAGCTGCATTCACCCCGAGAGCCCGGATGGGCGCTCTGGAGCCGGGCTCATTCGAGTCCTCGGGCCTCCTCCGGGTCCTGCACTCACCCTCCTCTACGCTGCTTCTTCCCTTCCTTCCCCCGCTTTCCCTGCCCGGAGCGGAGGGACCCGGGCGGGGCCGGGGGAAGCGGGTGTCCGCAGGACCCGTGCGTTGGGGTTGCAGAGAGGAAAGACGCGGGAGGGGAGCAGAGGCGGCGGGAGCGAGCGGCGGAGCCGGGCGGCGGGAGCGTGCGGCGGCGTCTGGCGGCGGGAGGTGCAGAGCGCGGGCCGGAGGAGGCTGCGCGGGGCCGGGGAGAGGGTGGGGGCCGCGGGAGAGGCGCGGGAGCAGCTGGCGGGGGAGGGGAGCGCCGAGGCCGCGGAAAGAGGAAGATGCTTAAAGGTTAAAACCGAAAATAAAAAAAAAAAACTGCCGGGTTGAAATGACCGCCAAAGCGGGGAGCGGAGGGAAAGGGCGCCCCCCCGCCCCCTCCCCCCCAGCAGGGACCCCGCTCTGCCTACCTGATCCGGAGGCCAGCCTGTCCTCTGGCACCGCCAGCACCACGCAGGGTGGCGGTGTCGCGTTGGCTGCAAGCAGCGGTTTCCTTTCCCCGCATCTCAGATTCTAGCGCCATTTCTTTCAAAACTGACATCTGGCCTCCTGAATGGCGGGGAGCGCAATGACGTGATCTGGCTTTGTTTTTCCTTCTTTCTTTTTCTCGTGTTAAATCATCCGGTTTGGAGACGTGGAAGACCCTCGGCGAGGGGCGCCAGGAGCACAGCAAGAGAAACCGGGAGCCGGCACGAGCGCCGCGGACGCGCCCAGCCCGTTCCTGGTCGCTGTCAGGTGACGGACGTAGAGGGCGGGGGGGCTGCCCGGAGGAGCGTCAGTCTTCAGGACCTGGAGCTGTCACCGCATGGGGCGCCGAGGCCGGGGGGTAGGGGGGGGTGCGGGGGGGAGTGGCAGGGGGCGCCGATGGGCGGGAAAGAGGCGGTGGGGGGAGGGAGAGGGACGTCGGGCTCTTGTCGTGGGCGCGCGCCGCCCTCGGCCTGCCTTCCACGCGCCCGCTGGGTGCGAGCGGCCCCAGGCTCGTGGGAAGGTCGGGGCCGAGCCGAAGCGCGCCGGGGACGCGGGCGCGCGCCTTAGGGGCGGCGATGGGCCCCTCGGCGGCGCGTGGGTCTCTGTTTTAACCCAGGGGGACGGGCACAGTGCGACTTCGCTCCGATCCCAAAAGGCGGCGCGGCGCAGCGCCGGCGCAGCTCGGCAGCCACCAGAAGATGGTGCGCACCTATCTGGTCACCGTGCGGTTTCGGCGCGCGTGCGGCCCCCCGCGGGAGAGAGCGTTCGTGATCGAATTCCTGCGGCCCGCGGGCGAGTGGGCAGCGCCGGGCTGGCGGGACGCCGTGGCCCTCGTGCTGACGCTGGTGAGGAACCAGCGCCGAGCCCGGCAGCCGCATCCTGGAAGACCAGGTAGGAAAGGCCTCTCGGTCCCCGCAAAACCGGCCGGTGGGTGACCCCGCTGGGTGTGATTGCACGCGCGGAGCAGTCCCCTCCCGGGGGTGGAGGCTCAGTGCGAGCGAGCTCTCCACGCGGGTTACACGCACTTAGAGGTGAGCTTCTTTCAATATTTTGAGCTATTGAGCCCGGAACCCTTTCGGCCTCCTGAGTCCCGTGAAACTCTGGGGGTGGGGGGTGGAGGTGGTGGGGGGTTCCTACACCCATCTCAGAAGTAGCCCTGGGTCCCCTGGGTGGGACCGTCAGTGCAAACACACACACACACACACACACACACACACACACACACGCCACCGGGAATGGCACCAGGTGTATTTCCAGGGCACTTGGTGACTTTATGGGGTCCTGGAGGGAAGTATTACTAAGGGGCTCAGTTTTCTGGAGGCCGCCTTTTTCTCCCCAGCCTTCCTGCTGGGTCAACCTTCCCTCCTGGCGGTAATCGCCGGTAGTCTGACTTCCCGGAGCAGTAACAGTGGTTGATGGATCAGTCACTACTAAGTGGAGATTTTGCAGCCGAGATGGGCTTTCGAGTGAGTGGCAGGTTTATTAAAATGTCTCGGGACCATGGCCGCATGTTTAGAAGACGGTGGTAAAGCCAGGGAGTCACACCCAACCTTACTTTAACCATCTCAAGCCGCAATGAGCACTTTTTTAAAAAGTGAGGCCTACTTCTTGAAAAACAGACTCACTCCTAGGTAGTGTATCTTCATATCAGATAAATCGTGATACAGTCGGTGTAATCTCCTATGGCCAGAATAATGGAAAATATATGTCTAGTTACAATATGCAGAAACCTATTAATACTTGGGTAATAAATCAACGAACAATTTAATGAGGTTTCATTTTTGTGACCATCTTTGTTGCATCATTTCCTCTGGAATATCTGTTTTTGAAAAATGCAAAGGCCAGCAGAGGGGTAATTAGTTTTATTGTAATGTTAATTGGCTTTTTGACATGCAAATATAAATTGTTAAAACTATCAATGTTTAATTAGATATTTCCATTTCTATTGGCGAAAGTTTACAAACAATTTATAAGGGAAATCACATTTTCTTTTTCACATTATCATGAAAGTTCAATTTTTAAAGAATCGTAGCAGGAGCTTAGAAAGAATTTCTTAGGGCGATCCTGTTGGTTTTTTTAATGGTGCTTTATTCTTAGCAGCAAACGTTTAGCCACTATATGTTTTTTAGTATCAGAGTTGCTAATATTACTCTCTATATAAAGCTACTTTATTTAAATTATTTTGTACTAGAAATATATAGTAACAAAAAAAATTTAATCTATGTAAATACTGTAATTATGTGTTTTCTAGTTCAGGAATACACAATATAATATTGTGATGACTTTAAGTTATAGAAAATATTTTATAGTATGTTGTATAAAATGTTAAAAACGTACAAATGACACATTCATTCAAAGAAGCAGTGTATTTCTTTTTATTTAGGTATAAATAAATTTTCAGGAATAATGTGCAAAGTTTTTTTTAAATGCATTGACCATATGAAAAGCCCAATTTTTAGCAAATATATGAAAACAGAACACATGACTTTGATAGAATAGAATGTCTTGAAAATATGTGCAATTCTCCAACTTCATATGTGAAATTATACACAAATAAACATCTGGAATTATTAATTATAAATGATAAGTAATTATATATTGGATAATTATGTTGAAATTTATGCAATCTTTGAGAGCCACATTGCCAAAAAATAACTTGTATGAATTATTTAATATTAATGCAAATATGTAAGGTGTTATTTTAACATATCTTTAGTTTCTGCAAATCTGTTTACTATGACTTTTTATTTTTATGATTGGAAATGTATAAAATAAAATCCCACATTACTAGTTTGTTATCACACATGTGTGGTGAATTACATTAATTGATTTGTTACTTCTGCTTGGTGTGTTTACAAAATAATATTTTTATGAGACTAAATATCTATTTGTTGACAAGAGTTTTAGTGTTTTCTCAAGGTAATCACTATATAGTTAGCATAATCCATCATTTCCAATGTGTACGTGGTATCCCCCCCCCCCCCCCGCATTAGTTCTAAGAACAATAACCCTTTCAGGAATCAAGACTTAATATTAATTTACTTCTTTGAGGATCCTTGAATTTTAAAAATTCCATTATCTCTAAGATAACAATGATGTAGCCTATTACTGTCTATGTCCACAATATTTTACAGGTCTGCTAATTACATATTAGTTCATCACTACTATCATGGTAAAATTAAGCTAAACCATTTTCCCAACATGTGAATTGATCCATATCTTCTCAAAAATACTTCCTTTTTTCCCCCCTAACAGAAGGCTGAACATCTGGCCCAGTGATTTTACTCTTTTAAAACCGTTAGTCCTTTTTGAGAAGCGTAACAATCTCAGCCCCTCCAGCGCTGGCTGCGCCTATTCACTACGTCGGTAAATATAGGACAAATGCGTTGCTATACCTATTTCCAAGGGGCCTGGGTTAGGCCTCTGGTCTCCGCACTTGCCCGCTTCTCCATTGACTTCAGGTTGGGGCTCCCCGCTTCTCAGAACTGGATCAGGGTCCAAACGTGGGATCCCTGGACCCCAAAGAGAACACACAATAGGAAGTGAGATTCGAGCTGCTCCCGGGGACTTCGTCTCTCCCCCTCCTCTCCCCATCTCCCACACCTCAAGGCACTTCCTGGACTCAATTCCTAGAGAAGGCCCGAGTCCTATATTTTAATTGGCAGCTGGGGTAAGGCCCTCCAGCAGTTTAGCCGCTGGCATAATTATGACCCCACTCCACAAATGCATTTCTTCTACTTTTAGTCTCCCCTGGGCCTCGCCCCTCACCCCAACTATTTCCACAGATAAAATTTGATGAGAATAACTAACCGCAGAACAGGGGTTATATGTAGAGCCAGACTGGGGCGGGGGGGGGGGGGGGGGGCGGACTCACTGGGTGGAGAAGGGTGTGGGGGCAGGCAGAGTCTGAGTGGGCCTTGTGGACACAAAAGTGCCAGGTATGACCAGAGACACGCCTTTAGGTCACTTCCCGAGCTTGAAACTGGCGGAGCTTTATTTTCTTTCTGGAAGGGAGGGGTTGAAGTAGAGGTAGGTACATTCTAGAGACCCAGAAATCCTGGGGAAGTGCAGTTCCAAGACTTAGGGCCATTTCGGGCCCTTACACTGCGGTGGCCACTGGAGGGTTGGATGGCCACACCCTCTGTTGCTTTGTCAGGGTTGCAAGATGGTCTTCGGAGTGTGGCCCCTAGTACTTTTCCAGAGATGTCTCTCAACTGTTTTTCTTCTTGTGTTAGAAATTCCCCCTCCCTCAGTTTAATCATTTAAATTAGATCATTTATTAGAATTTTTAAAAGTCTAAGTCTAATAACAAGATCAACTTCTATAAGAAAATCTTGGGAGTAAAGACTGTTCAGTAGGGAAATGGAGGTCCTTTTAAGGCTCTGTTCCATTTTAGAAAATGCCTACCAATTTGGAACCCCCACTGATTCCCCATATCCTAATTCATGGTATCTCTGTGTTGTTGTTGTTGTTGTTGTTGTTGTTGTTATTATTATTATTATTATTCACCAATCTGACATGTATTGCAAATTGTTGAATTTGCTATTAATAGCATTTTTTTTTTTTTAAAGAAGGGAGTGTTGAAGTTGTTTGTTTCATGAGCCCTAGAATGATTGTTGCATTTGGGCGAAACTACATAATTAGGAAGAAGTAGTAAAAGGGAAAGAAAATTCAGCTACAAAATTTAAAATTCCAGTACCTCAGATGTCCTTTGAAAAAGAGTAAGTTGATCTTTATTTTTTATATTACAAATAACATAATGGCTTTGTTCATAAAAATATAAACATTTTATCACAAATGACCTTTTAATCCTTCGATACTAGCTTTCAGTTTTCCCCTTTACCTTAAAAAAAAAAAATCTCAGAATTAATTTAAATGGATGCAAAGCCAATAGGAATTTTTTAAGAGAAGAAAAGTTTTGTAGAGGTTCAGAATATGTGAGCAAAGATCTATAACCTCTTAAGCAAACTGAAGCTAATAAAATCGTGTGGAGTGGTGTGAATAAATACGACTTTACTTTGTTAATTTAAGCAGGAAAGGAGTGAGACATCAAAGGTAGCAAAGAGTATCAGCAGCAGCATTACCTGGGCTGCTGTTTAAGATCCGTATTTCTGGGTTTGCTCCCAGGAAATTGGATTCACCATATTTGCTTTTGGTGCACTTGAAGGAGATTCTGTTACAGGTGGCTTACTGGTACACCATTGACAAATAAATAACTTTATTTTTGCTTATGTATGTTTTAATCAAGGTCCGGGCTTTTAAGTAAGATTTAAAATTTCAGAATCAGTCGATCACACTTTGGTGTTTGTGTGTGTGTGTGTGTTTTAATATATTTTATTGATTTTTTACAG